GCCCTAATACTCCGTCGTAGTTAACAGCGTGTTCTGTTGATTGAACGCAACAGGACGCTGTTTATATAAATAAAGGGCATTCATAGGGCAGATATGTTAATTTGAGTAAACCAGTTTCACGCCTGGCCTATAGACTGTTTGTTATGAATATTGAATTTTATTTGGATTATGTTAAGGAGTGTGACTATCGGTGCTCACCCGGTTTGGGTACTGTTTTGAAGCCTCTAGTTTGGAATTTTGATCGTAACCAAGACTGAAAGTGTTTGCTGAGCTAATAAAGCAAGTGAGAAGCAGGCTCATGGTTTAAGGTCAGGTTGTTATGTTGTTGTTGTTATGAAGGCTATGTATGTTACTGTAAATCAGTTGAAATGTTGGCTGTCTTTAATTTAAAGAGACATTTAGGGGAGAGTTCTCAGCGAAATCATATAATCCAGATCAATCACTTTTGGCTATAGAGATACATTACATACACAACACTGGGAGTGATCATTCTCGTAAATGTTTCTTCCTTAACAACATTCAGTTACTTTATTATATCCCATCCCTTCCTTAACTTATTTGATTATCATGTCCCACAAATCATGGCCACACACACACACACACACACACACACACACACACACACACACACCTACACAAACACCCTGCTTACACCTCAGCCACACTCCGGTCTTGGACTTCAACCCCTCTCAGTGAAATTTGAAGCAGCACTGCATCTCTCTTTCCGCCTTCTGAAACCTGTCTCTCTGACTTCCAGCTCCACTGCTCCAACAGGTAGGCTTCCATTCTTCCTTTTTAGCTGTTGCACCAGAGCAGATGCTACAGTGTCTTCAGCCTTTTAGTCCATTTTACTAGAGGAATAGTTTGCAGCATGAAAATAGCAGGAATTAGGAATTGTGATAGTCTGTATCATGTTTCAAGTCTCTCAAACACACTTCTGATGCTTCCTTTTTTCATCTATTTTTCTTTTCGTGCCTCAGCCGTAAACTTAACCGACAGCTTTGTCCTTTTTTTATTGCTTTTACTTGAGATGAATTCCTGTCAGTCTATTTGGTGTTATTGTTTTATGAGGCTTGGACTATGAACAGGCTGCTTATGTCAGCTATTCAAACCTATTTGGACTCATCATGAGTTGTACCTTAGTTACTAAAAAAATTAAGATTTGTAGTTTGACCAAATCAAACTACAATTGTGTGGCCAAAGGGGACATCAGCCAGTGACTGTCATCTACCTCTGATATAATGTCGTCTATTTACATATTTATTATGGTACTGATTCACTTACTGGCCTGGGACCTGAATTAACATATAAGTCTAATTCCACTGAAGGTTTATGTATGTGTACTCTTGTCTCATTAGGTAACATTTTATTTTCTCTAATAATCTGTGTATGAAATGGGCCAATACACACCAGCACTGAGTACCGGCACTTGTGTTTTTGTCCACATTGGGTTTGGGTACCGCCACCTGTGTTGAGTATGGGTGTACCCACCACTGAGGTAAAGACCTATTTTCTTCAGTATAAAAGGCTGGTGGGACCATTAATGTCTGTAATATCTCAATAATTATTAGATAGGCTTCCAAATTTCTACAGTCTTGACCACCAGCCACCAACCAAAATACTTGGGTCCCTGACAAATTCTGCAGGTTTCCCTTTCATTTATATTAAAACTTAAGTAAAAAAAAAAATAAAAATCTACTGTAGACAACAATGGTAATACAAGGCTAAATATAAATCCCTATAAATATTGACCTGAAGAGAAGCATGCAAACCCCAGATACTGTGTCTTGTTCTGTGCCAGGCTATTTGTCCAGAAAAGGGAGTCTAATAAATTAATAAATGTACAGATTTACAATATGATCCTCTTCACTTAAACGAACAAGTACCCTGTGAATTCAAACACAGTTTAAATGACCTGTTTGAGCAAAACAGATGTGTGTTAACAACAGCCATAAAAGTGAGCCAATGTTTATCATGTGTGGATAACCTTTCAGGTACATCTCATGTTGTAACACTGAACATATCTGCATATATGAATATTTTTTTCCAGATGAGTAACATAATCTGCTTTAAAGCTGCAGTAGGTAACTTTTGTCATATTTTCTGAAACTTTCACTATATCCTGACAGTAGTACATGAGAAAGATAATCTGTGAAACAATCAGGGTTCCCCTCTGGCTTCCTCCTAGTTGTATCCCTAATGGCAATTTGCACGAATCAACCGGGACTGAATGAAAACAACCAATCAGAACGAGAACAGAACTACTTACACTTTGGGTTAGTGGCTTGAAGATTGATTGTAGAGTCTTGGTATTTGGCATTCTGGGAATGAGACTCAATAATTAGTTGTCTTTCTTGGCTCTGATTGGTTGTTTATGTTCAGACATGGTGGATTCTTCATTAGGAGCTCTAGGAGGAGCCAGAGGAACCTGATTGTTTCACAGA